CTAGTGGCAAGAAGCTGCACTGCAATCTCAGACGTACATGGTTCAAATCCATCAGATGCTCTGCTGGAGAAGGAGGAACAATCTCCTCTTGTACCAGTCAGATCTGATTTGATGGTACACACAAGAAATAATGGCATAAAAAAATTTAAAAAAAAAGAAAAACGTGATAAGTCCCCAAGTTATTGGTACAGTTTCTGTCTCCTGGAAAGCCCGGATGAGCGCGTATTCCTTTGAAAGCCTTGTGACTACATGTGGGCATTGTATCATCTAACTAGTCGAGCTCTGGTCCGTCCATCTGGGTCTGTGTCAGCCCTACCTGAACAGGTGGTCTGTGTGGTCCCTGGGCAGCGTGTAATTGATATGATAAAGGCGCACGCAGACCACGGCCACAGTGACGCTGCTTCTCCAGGGCGTCAGAGTCCTCTCCTGGAAATGAATTATTCATCTTCCTCTCCTTCCCCTAAATGCTTCATTCCCAAGTGTATGTAACCCTGGTCTCAGATGATGACTGGGGGCCGTGTTCTCTGGCTCTCCAGATGGATGTTTTGAAGTGATGTGTAGCCAGCCTGTTCCCATGATGGCTGGAGCATGCATGCCCCCTGGGACATGCTGGCATCAACTCCTTTTTCTCTTTCTCCCACATCGCTTTAGCACTCGTCTGCTCCCAAGGTGCTGGGGAAGCATCCCTGAGCCCCTGCCCTCTGCTCCCCGGCCAGGAGTCTTGTCCTTTTGCAGCTCTGTCGCAGTCACTCATTCCTGCAGCTCCAGCATGGCCTTTGCCCCAGGGGCTGCCAGTGGTGGACAGGATTCTGCAACCTCACAGCTCCCCTGCAGACTTGGACAGTACCTCACCCAGGCCCCTGGCTCCCGTCTGTCTCTCTGCCCATGAACTTTGACTGCAGCCAAGTGTGGCTCTCCTTTCCACCCTTGCTGAGGGGCTGGCCCGTGACAGGTTCCCTGGAGAACCGTGTCATATGGAATGACCTGGTAAGTGCCAACAGGAGGCAGTTTCTGGATTGACCCCCTCCTCAGAGACACAGGGGGTTTCTAAGGAACATTATGCTAGTACTTCTTATAAGGCAGAGTTATTCTTTCTTCTAGAAGTTCACGGTATATTCAGTTCTTCACTGGTCTTCTTATTCGTTGTCCAACTTTCACATCCGTGTAAAGCATCTGAAAACACTATGGCTTGGATAAGGAGCTGTGGTGGCCTGGTAATAGGGAGTTGTGCTGCCAGTCCACAGGCACACAGTTTACCAGCTGCTCCGAGGAAGAAAGTCGGGCCCTCTCCTCCCGTGTGATTTATAGCCTGAAAATCTGCTGGAGCCTCAGCCGTGGTTCTGAATAGATGGCGCACAACAACAACAACAACATGGTTTCAATTAGGTGTATTTTAGGCCTCAAAATGGTATTATTTTTACAACACTGTAAAGTACACTTTACATCATTTTTGCCCAAACAAAACATTATTCAACTTCTTAACTTCCAAGGGTGCTGATTGTGGACACAAGTAGATGAAATCTTTGACAATGTCAGCCCTTCCTCCACTTAACCATGTTTCCTGCTGATCTAGTTGTGAAGATTTCTGTTTTCTTTCTGTTAGAGAGTAGTCTCGTCATCAGTACTCCAAGTTTTCTTGATTTTCAGCAAGCAAAGTGGTGTCATCTGCATCTCAAAAGTCACTGATGCATCTTCTTCCAGGCCTGATGCCACCATGCCACCTCCTTCATATAACCCACCTTTCAAGACTATTTGCCCTGACACACATCTTTCCTGATTTAAAATCATGCATTATCCCCCTGTAGTATTGAAAGCATGGCATCTTTGTCTATGCGTGAGCACAATTAAGTGTTGTAAAATTTCTATTTTGTGCATTTTACCCATAAGTTTTACCCATAATTTGTTATAATACGTGCAGTCTTTGTATAGTGAAGACAACATAGGTAAACATCTTTCTAGTTTTCTCTGCTTTTAGCCAAGATTCATGTGACATCAGAAGTATCCCTCATTCCATGTCTTCTTTAGATTCCAACTTGTATTTCTTTCTGTCAATGCCGTGTTGATAAATTGCTGCAACCATTTTCTAACTACCTTCAGCAACATTTTACTTTCATATGATGTTAATGATATTATTAAATAATTTCCACATGCTGTTGGATTACCTTTCTTTGCAATGGGCATGCAAATATGTATCCCTTCCAATCAGTTGGCCTGGTCTTTCCTATTTCTTGGATAGATGTATGAGTACTTCAAGGAGCACATACCTGTGAATTACTGCATAATATAAAGCGTATGGTCTAAGGGGATTGATTGGTTCATCTCTGAATTCAGTCCATCAGCTCAGTAATGCCCAAGTCCAATTGCCAACAGGACATTCCTCCTAGAAGTCATTCCTGCATTTCAGACGAGTGTGGTCAAAGGGTAACTAATTATCCTTCCCACAAACCTGTCCTTTTTGCCCCTATTTCATAGCATTAACACTATCAGCATTGTGCCAGTTGCTCATGGTAAATGCACCAAAATATATTCCTTTTCTAATTTTCCTGCTCCCTGCAACCAGCGAGATGTATGGACACTGTGACTTCAGCAGTCAGTTCTAGTGTCTCAGAGATGATGAAGACACACAGGATAGGAAGGTCCAGAATAGCTGTTCATAGGGTCGCTATGAGTCGTAATTAACAGCATCTAACAACAACAACTCCCATATAAGGCAATTCTGGTGACTGCTGCTTCTTGTCACTGCTGAGTGCTGTAAAGTCAACCTACAGCTCATAGTGACCCTATGAATAACAATGAATAACAACTCTAAACCTTGCCCTGTCCTAAGCCGGTCTCATCATCTCAGACATCATGACCCCATTGCCATAATTGTTGTATCAATCCATCTTGTCGAGTGTCTTCCACTCTTGTGCCGTCCCTCCACCCTTCCAAGCATAATGTCCTTCTCCAAAGACTGGCCCCTCTGACAATATGCTCAGAGTATGTGAAATGGAATTTCCCCATCTTTGATTCCAAGGAGCACCCTAGTTTTACTTTCTCTAGGACAGACCTGTTTGTTCTCTTAGCAGTCCATGGTATGTTCAATACTCTTCTCAAATACCACAACTTAAAGGCATTGACTCTTCTTCTGTCACCATTCATCACTGTCCAGTTTTCAGATGCACAGCAAGTGAGTGAAAAGACTGTGGTTTGGATCAGGCACACCTTAGTCTTTAGAGTGACACTGTTGCTCTTTAGCACTTTGGAGTGGTCCTTGACAACAGATTTTCTCAGTGTAACTCATCTTTTGATTTCCTGACTGCTGATGCCAAGGTTGTTGCTTGTGGAATTGCACTGTCAATGCAATGGAATGCAGTTCGACTCCATCAGCTGCTCCACAGGAAAAAGATGAGCATTCTCCTCCCATGCGATTTACTGCCTCTCACAACCCACTAGAGGTTCAATTGTGGTTCTGACTTTATGAGACAGAGCAACAACAACCCCCATCTGGGTTGTCCCCAGGACCTTTTGCTGTTTATGTGTGACTCTCTTTGCATCTGTGCTGCTGTGTGACACCCCCACCCTTCAAAAAAAAACAAACCACAAAAACAAACCCTCTGTAGTTTGCAACAAGGATTGATCACTTCCTTGTGTGCCTTAAGTCCACTGATGTAGATCTAGCTGGCTAACTCTGACTCTATTGACTGGCTTCCCTCGTGATCAAATCCAACTTAGTGGACAAACTATGAAGTTACATGGCAGAAACCACGGATATAGGTTGGGATGAAGAACAAGGGCCAGAAATGCAGACTACTGTGGTTGTTGCTGTGTATCGTGCAGTCAGAACTGACCCCTCACTGACCCTCCAGTGGGGTTTCAGATGCCGTAAAATGCATGAGAGGCGATTGCCCATCTTTCTCCCACAGAGCAGCTGATGGATTGAAATGTGTGGAAGGGTGGATGGACAGCACAGGAGAGGGAGACCCTGGATGAGGTGCATCAGCACAGTAGCTGGGGCAGTGGGGTTTGGTGTGTTAGTGAGACTGGCTCAGGACAGGGAAGTGTTCAGAGCTGCTGTACACAGGGTCACTATGCATTGCAGGCAACTCAACTAATAACGTTCTATGACAGGTTTGGAAGCAGGAATGGCATTCACTTCCTAAACAACTTGCCTCTGGAAATTCTATGACCTTTGATAAATGTCAATAGTTGTAGAGGGGCTTCACGCCTTTTGTTCCTAGGGTCTCTATGAGTCATGCTTGACTCGAAGGCAATCAGCAACAACAACAGCAACAACCTTTGGGTTGGCAGCCCAATTCTTTACCACTAAGACATCAGACAATTTAGTGTTGTACCTGTAATAGCAAATTAGGCCTCTTGAGGTTGAGATGTAATCCATACCAAAGGCTGCGGTACTTGATCTTCAGCAGCAACAAATTGAAATAGCTTTGCACTCCATTGGAGAAAGATGGGTTTTCTCCAGTGCGATTTACAGCCTCTGAAAACCCACTGGAGGGTCAGCTATGAGTCGGTTCAGATTAGACAGCACGCAACAACAATATAAGGCGGGAAGCCCCAGGTCATGGCAGCCTCCTGCACAGCAGAACTGAATGCTGCCAGGCCTGTGCCAGCCGCACTGCTGTGACCCACAGTTTTCACTGGCTGGTTGCCAGGCCTTTCTTCCCAGTCTCAGGGTGGCAGCTGCACTCTAAGGCATTGTGTTTGCAATGGTGTGTAGCATGGTGTGGGAGGCCACAGCGTCTTCTCGAAATCAGTAGACTTAACAGCATTGCCCATTTAGAAAAGTGCTCTGACACCGGGGAAATAGCGCACCAAGGTTTTCACACTGTGCACTGTGCTCGCTACTTGTAGCTGTAGATTTTTTATTCTTTCCCTGCCTGTGGTGGTTTCCAGCACATCATACCTGGAGCCAGGAGGTGATATGTCAACGTGTGTCTTCTCCAGGAGGGGGTCGTGCCTCTCTTAGACACCCCCATGTCACGGTGCCCTCTTGTTCCCAGGTGACCTGTCCGTGGAGGAGGCGCAGGACCCGTTCCTGGTTAGCATCCACGTGATCGCAGACCCCGGAGACTCGCAGCGCCTGCAGGAGGCCATCGACAGGGTGCTGGCGTGGATCCACCCGGACCTGCAGCTCTTCCGCGTCTCGGAAAGGCGGGTGGCGCGCCGGCGGAAGAAGGGGCCCCGGGCGGCGCAGCCCGCGCTGGCGGTGGTGCTGTTCCTGCAGGAGCAGTACGGCGAGGAGCAGATCCTGCAGCTGCACCGCGCGTTGCAGCGGCCGCCCTGGCACTTCCACCACGCCGAGCGCGTGCAGGGCCGCTTCCTGCCCTACCTGCCCTGCAGCCAGGACTTCTTCACGCTGGCCCCCGGCACCCCGCTCTGGGCCATCCGGCCGGTGCACTACGGCAAGGAGATCGTGCGCTTCACCATCTACTGTCGCCACGACAGCTACGCGGACACCCTCAAGTTCTACGAGCTGATCCTCAAGCGGAGCCCCAGCCAGAGGAAGGCGGACTTCTGCATCTTCCCCATCTTCTCCAGCCTGGATGTGGACGTCCAGTTCTCCCTCAAGAGGCTGCCCCGCGACCAGACCCCGGTCCCCACCGACTCGGCCGTGCTGGAGTTCCGCGTCAAGGACATCGGGGAGCTGGTGCCGCTGCTGCCCAACCCCTGCAGCCCTATCAGTGAGGGCCGCTGGCAGACGGAGGACCACGACGGGAACAAGATCCTTCTGCAGGTACTCTGGATGGGTCCGTCTGTCTGTCTGTCGTCCTGTTTGTGCTTGGGAACGGAGGAGCCAGTCAGGGGCTCATCCAGAAACCTTGAAACAGGAGAGAAAACAGAGAAGGCTCTGCGGGCCTCTTGGCCAGCTTGAGTTGTCCCTCTGTCTGAAGCAGAACCTCTGACTGGGCCATCTGCCCATCCCAAGTGCCCCCTGAAATGTCGAGGCTTCCTGTGGACTGGGGGACGGTAATGACCTATTTCTCAGTCCACTCCCTCTTACTCAGTGCATTTTTAGCTATGTGCCCTTAGCTCCCCAAAGACATGATAGAAAAACTCAGCAATGAGAAGTGTGCAGCATCTTGACAGCCAGTCAAGGAGCTGTACCCTTCCCTTGCCTCCCTCCTCGGCTTTCACAGGCCCCTGGGCGCTAAGTGGTTATAGTTCAAGGAGTTATTTAAGCCGGTGGAGCCCGAGGTTTCATTAGGCTGGGAAGGGAGACGGGAGTACATGTTAGGGAAATGGACTTTTAATAGACGGTCTCATATCACGGTTAGCCTCATTACTGGGCTGTTCACCTCCCATCCTTCAGTGATTGGTTGTGCTAGACTTCTCGCACTCTGCATTTCATTTCCAAGTTCAGCATGTAAACAGAATGGTGTCCTGCTCCGGGCAGTGGTAGATTCTTGTTTTCATGTGACACATGTTCATTTCCCAACATCTGTCATCACTCATCTGTCTGTTGTGTGTCACTGGGACGCTGCACAGTTTCTGTGGACCTTCCAGACTTAAGATGGACTAGGAGGAAAGGCCAGGTGATCCAATTCTGAACATTAGCCCCTGAAAACCCTACCTCTCACAGCAGTCTGATGTACCACCGGTCACGGGGACGGTCCAACACAGGGCAGTGCCTCGTTTTCTTGGGCGTGGGGTCACCGTGAGTCAGGGGCCAGTTTAGTGGCAGACGCCTGCTACCCACCATTGGCTGGAGTGAGTGAGGTGAGGTGACTGGAGATAAGAGAATGACACACACAGAGCTGCAATTTAGCTAAATAAGTGAAAAAGGCTTACTGGGAAAGGGCAGTAAAATAGGCATAGCTGTCGAAAGGTAGAGGTAGGCCATGAAAAAGATGTTAAGTGGAAAAGGAAGAAAAAGAGGAAGGTGCCCCTGGGAAGACAAGGGTGGAGATAAGCCGCTTGGCATGCTGCCAGCATCAAAGAGCATGATCCCTAGGTGCTCACAGCCTTTGTGGACTGCCAGGCTCAGAAGACTGGCCACAGCCTAGCCCCATCCAGGGACTTGTGAGGTGGTCCCTCTGCCTTCCTGGGGAGCGGTCTACTTCTGGTGTGACCCATTTTTTTTGGCACCTATCAGAAGTCCCATCACCAAGTTCCTGTCACCTCATCCTTACAGTCTCAATCATTCAGTTGGCGCATCTCTTAGACATTCCTTCCCTGTTTCCCCTGAGAGACCCCGCTTCCCACCGTCTTCTGTGAGAGTGAGACCCAAGAGCCACTGTAGCCCTTAGCAATGCCCAGTGCTAACTGATAAATATTTTCCAAACCCACGCGTTCTCGAGTTAACAAGTAATTCACTGTCAGAACTGTAATCCACTGTCATCAAGTTGATTCCAACTCATAGTGACCACCCTGTCAGGTTTCTGAGCCTGGAAATCGTAATGGGAGGAGAATGCCTGTCTTTCTGCCTTGAAGCCACTCGTGGATTCAAACTGTTGGCCTTTTGGTTAGCAGTACAGCACACTTACGCTGCATCACCGTGGTTCTTTTCCAGAACTATGGGACTTTTAATAAAAGACAAACTGGTGAGCTCTGGTGGCCTAGTGGCAAGAAGCTGCACTGCAATCCCAGAAGTGCATGGTTCAAATCCACCAGATGCTCTGCTGGAGAAGGAGGAACAAGCTCCTCCTGTACCAGTCAGATCTAATTTGACGGTACACACACACACACACACAAAATAATAAAATTTTTTTAAAAAAGACAAACTGCATCTACCTCCTCAGTTTTCATAGTTAACCTCCTGAAAGGAGAGAACTGAGAGTGAATTTGAGGACATTCACTCTCAAAATTAGCTGTGCTCTTACAGTTCCATGAATTACAGGTAAAGTTTCCTTGTTTGTTTTGGCATTAAACACTGCCTGTGATTGTGTGTCATGAAATGAAGGAAGGAGTTGGCAGATGGCAGGCATACAGCTAAGCCACACCACTCATCAGAAAGGTCACCCTGAGACCTATTTGCTGTCTGTGGTGTTAAAGAATTGCCCTGCCGACCCAAAGGTTCATAGTTTGAATCCACCGGCTACTCTGCTGGAGAATATGAGTCTTCTCATCCCATGCAACTTACTGCCTGTCAAAACCTGCTGGAGGGTTGGTTCTTACTTGATGGTACACCACAACATCGATTTGTTATCAGTCAACTCCAACATATAATGACTCCGTGTGTTCAGAGCAGTGCCTCTAATCTGACCTCCCTACTGAGAATTTACCTTTCCATCTCGCATCTATGAATCAGAATCCACATGTTAACAGAATCTCTCTATCTACATATGCACTGCCTAAAGCTATGGGAATTACCTGGTGACCTTGTAGATTCCAACCTCAATTCTGTAGATCTAAGGGAAACTCACTGCTGTCAAGGAAGAGTAAATTACAGCTGACCCTCCAGCAAGTTTTCTAGGTAGTTAATCACCCAGGAAGAGGTCACTCATTTTTCTTTCCAGTAGGTGCAAATTCTCAGCAGGAGAACCAAGCCCTGGTTCAGAGTAAAACTATGCTTCATGGGGTTTTCCATAGTTCATTTTCAGAAACTCATCACTGAAGTGTCTCTCGCTGGATTCGAACCTCCAGCATTTCAGTTATCTAATGAGTGTGCTAACCTTTTGTACCATGCAGGAACTCCTTGCTTCTTTGGGAACTAGACAGTGTTCAGCTTCCCTTTGGCAAATAAGCAGCTGTCAGTGAATTCAACACTAGCATTTGCATTTGTACTCCTGTTTGAATAATTTCTCCTGTGTTTATGGACTGCCAGCTCTTTGTACAAAATAGTATAGTTGCACTGAGTAAAAGCTAATGACTTGCGAAGAGTTTTAGTTATACAAACAGAAACCATAAGAATACAATTGTTTAAAAAAAAAAAAGAATACAATTGTTTAAGACCCTGCACTGCAATCCCAGAGGTACGCGGTTCAAATCCACCAGATGCTCTGCTGGAGAAGGAGGGGGCAATCTCCTCCTGTACCAGTCAGATCTGATTTGACAGTACACGTAAAAAATAATACAATAAAAATAAAAATAAAAAAATTTAATAAAAGAATACAATTGTTCCTGAAGTGCTGAAGTAGTTACAGTACTGTTTCCTCCCGACCCCTTAAAACTACATATGAAAGAATGGCATATGAGAGCGTGGCCTGGATGCAGTGCTTAGGAACCACTGAAGGTATGTCTTATAAAAGAGCTGATGTTTAAACAGTTATAAGGTCTATACAGGTGCAGGATTTTGAAGTTACATCACCAATATGTAAAGAGTTTAAAATAATTTGCATCGTGGCACTCAGGAAATGTAGCCTTTCTCTGTTCAGAGCAGCAGTGTGCCCAGGCCTTAAATCAGTGTGGTTAGAAATCACTCACTCACTCAGTCCTGTCCAGTTGGAACTGGCTCACAGCTGACCATTCAGGGCCTTTTTGAAGCTGTGGCAAGGAGCTGCCCTGCCAAACCGAAGGTACACAGATCCACCAGCTGCTTCTCAGGACAAAGATAGATGGACAGTCTCCTTGCATGGGATTTACAGCCTCTGAAAACCTGTTGGAGGGTCAGCTGTGCGTCCGTTCCAACTCAAGGGCAGGTCACAACAACTAGTCACAAAGGAGACTGTGCATCCTCCCACGAGGTGGATTCAAACTGCAAGACAGATGCAGCTTTGGGGTTAGCAGCTCCCCAGGGAATGGCTAGTTCCTTCTAGTTCGTGAAAATGACCCTTTGGGCCCGTGGCTTCCTGCCTTGCAGCTGAGAGCAAGCGCTGCTTCAGCAGGAGACACCCCTGTGCATCTCTTCAGTTACTGTTTACTTACACGGTCTGTGTTTCAGTCCTTGACAGTGATGCCCTGAGAAAAGGCACAGTGGCGAGCATGCCTTTATGTCTTTTTATCCACATTCTTTTTATCAAAATATGTTTCCATTTTCAACTTTAACCGTTAAATGCTACCTACAGACTTTTCACATGATGTAAGCAGAACCCTGATCAAAACCCTGGGCCTTCCTGCCCAGAAGCAGGGTCCTCTGTGCCGGGCACCCTTCCCATGAATGAGCATACTGATTACTCCATGCCACATAACAGGGGAAAGAAAAGTGGCTTTTCCAAACAAACTGCAGGTATAGCTGTGCTATCGTTTTTTGCTATTATTTATGCTTTAGATGAGTGGGGCTCTCAGGGGAGACATTGAAGAAGGTTGTGGTTGGTTTTGTTGTTGTTAGGTGCCAAGGAGTCATCAATCCTTTGTTGTTGCTGTTGTTGTTGTTGTTATATGCCTCTGACAGCTGTGACCCATAAGGACCCTGTGTACAGCAGCTCTGAAGCCTTTCCTGTCCTGAGCCAGTCTCACTGATTCCAACACACCTAACCCACATCGCCCCAGTTACTGTATCAATCCATCTCATCCAGGCTCTTCTCCTGCACTGTCCCTCCACCCTTCTAAGCATGATGTCCTTCTCCAAGGACCAGTCCCTCTGGCCACATGCCCAAAGTATGTGAGATGGAGCCTCAAAATTCTAGCCTCCAAGGATAAACTTGTTTTTACCTCTCCAAGGCAGACTGATTTGTTTTCTTGGCAGTCCATGGTATGTTCAAGACTCTTCTCCAGCAACACAAAGTCATCAATTCTTCTTCTGTCATCCTTAGTCATTATCCAGGTCTCTGATGCGTAGCAAACAATTGCAAAGACCATAGTCTGGGTCAGGTGCACCTTAGTCACTAGACTGACATCATTGCTTCTCAGGACTCT